AGAGTCATGAGGTGGGAGGGAAAGGGAGAGAAAAGGGAAATTGCATGGAAATGGAAGGAGACCCTCATTGTTATACAAAATTACATATAAGAGGTTGTGAAGGGAATGGGAAAAAAAATAAGGAGAGAAATGAACTACAGTAGATGGGGTAGAGAGAGAAGATGGGAGGGGAGGGGAGGGGGACAGTAGAGGATAGGAAAGGTAGCAGAATACAATAGTTACTATTATGGCATTATGTAAAAATGTGGATGTGTAACCGATATGATTCTRCAATCTATTTAATGTTTTGAATAACCAATAAAAAAAAAAGAAAGGTTAAATCTGAAAGTCAACCATTAACAAGCTAAATCTTTTCACAACTTTCTCATTGACAATATACAGGACTTTGAAGTTGTTCTACTGTTAGCTCAATTAATACACTTTGCAAACAGCTAAATTATATTAGTTTTATCATTATGTACTAACATTAGAATATCAGTTATTACCCAGTACTGGTTTTGGGGTCCTTTAGAAGGAATTAAAATTAGGTTTCTTAGGATTTATGCTATTTAAATTAAAAATATGTGACATTAATAAAAATTAAGCTTAAAAGTTCAACATTAAAGACAACATTTTTGGAGATAATAAAAAAATATAAACTTTGGTGTAATACCACACCAAATGAGTCATGGTAAAAACACAATTATTACTGAAAATCTTACAGGGCAGACATGTACTTGCAAATCGTTTGGTGCAAACCTAATTCCTGTTTCCAAACAAGCAATAATCTACCAAATGAAACAAACGACAGTTGTCAAATTTTACAAAATACTTTTAAATTGGTCTTTAGATTATCTGCAAAATTTTTGTGATGAAGACTATATTAAATAAAAAAAGCCCTTCTCTAAGATAGTATACATGGCTCTCATTTTGCTACACATTATTGATCACATCTTTAAAATGTTTTCATCTTTGAAGAATTAAGTGTCTTGCAAATCCATTAAACTCCAAAATCATCAGGTTTTTAAGCTTTTATAAAATTACAAATATTAGAAAACATTACAAAAATATTTTAAAGTACACTAAAAATCATGTTAAAAAAATTTTTTTTTCAAATGTCAACAGTCACTAGGGAACTGAAAGAGTGGTAGGCCCACAAGTCAACAATAAAATATCCAGGGGTAAGAGAAAACAGCACTTCCAAATTTTAAAGCTTTGAGTTTCTTAAAGTCAAGAAGCTGTAATTCCAGTGGCTTGGGAGGCTGAGGCAGGAGGATCTCCAGTTTAAAAGCCAGTCTCAGCAAAAGCGAGGTGCTAAGTAACTCAGTGAGATCCTGTCTCTAAATAAAATACAAAATAGGGCTGGGGATGTGGCTCAGTGGTTGAGTGGAATCCCCGGTATCTCTACTCCACACCAATAAAGAAGCTAGACTCGTGTGCAGGGGGAGGAAAAGAACTTCAGAAAAGTGAGCCCCTTAGAAGACTATATCCTCAGTGGAAAGCGAAATAAAATCATAATTCCATATACCAGATATATTTAACAAGGAAGTCTACCTATTCAGGTATTTTGATGGGAAAATTATAAATGTTTGGATTCTGAATTTTCTCTTCCTTTCTTAGAAAGGAATTCCCCAAAGCAACAAACACATTAGAAGACGTTAGATGCTGATGATACAGTGGCTAACCTAGCAAAGCAAACACAAAATTACCCCAGAGATTTTCATAGAAGAAAACAATAAATCAACTAAAGACTCTCCCACAACCAAAAACTTTGACTCACACAAAGAAAAGAACATAGCATCAGCGAACACTAACATATATTATATAGAAAATAGGAATGTTAGTACCCCTAAGAACCCCATAATTGTAAAATCTGAAGTTATAAAAAGTCTAAAGCTGGGCTGAGATTGTGGCTAAGTGGTAGAGCACTTACCTAGCATGTGAGGCACAGGGTTTGATTTTCAGCACCACATACACATAAATAAAATAAAGGTCCGTCAACAACGAAAAAATATTTTTGAAAGTCTTTTAAAGTTATATATTTGGGGTTAGGAATGCAGCTCACTGGTATAGCTCTTGCCTCTGGAATGCACAAAGCTCTTGGTTGATACCAAGCACCTCCACTTCTCTATTTGATGTTCCACAGGAACCTCAAACTCAATATATACAAATCTGAACCTACTATGTTCTTCTATATTCTCTGACAGAAATGAACAGCACACCACTCATCTAATTATCAAAGTCCAACTCTAAGAGCCTAGAAGTCATTGATAGAATCCCTTAAACATTCAATTAATTACCAATTACTGTCAATTTTACCTTCTACAAGTTCTCCAATGCCGCAGTCTGGGCACAATTCAGGAGCCACTTGTGAAAAGAAACAAACTTTATTTTTAGAACCACACACACCAAACAAAATAGCTCCTCAGGAAAAACCTTCAGAGCCCAACTGCTACCACCGGCTTCCCACAAGCCTCTCCACCTCCCCCCTCCTCTTGCTCTTGAGGCCGATTGGCTGGGTCGCATGGGCGGAGCCAAAAAAGTCCCCCAATGAGCAGCAGCTCTTTCGCTCAGTAGTTCTGGATCACAAACATCAATGATAGTTTCATCACAACTATGTAATACAAATCAATAAAAAAGGAATTATCAAATTAGATTCAAAGGAATCCTTAAAACTTAAAGAGAGCTATAACTGGTGATTTCATCTACATAAACAGAACAGTATCTCAATACAACAAATTTTTAGTTTATATTATATTATAAACAGTATCACTTCAACRTGTTCATAAGATGAGCAAAATAGGAACACTATAAAAAATTAAAACCCATAAAAATAAAATATTTGGAAAAGAAAATTAAAACTTACCATACACACCTGTAGAAGAAGTAGAATTGTTCATGGTAGAAGATCCGTTAATAATACCAGAAGAAAGAAGTTCATCAGACCCCCGCTGAAAAGCAAAACCAATCATCAATTAATGAAATAGGTTTTAGATAATGGTTTATATTTACTACTAAAAATATTAAGAGGTAATTAACTTAATATTTTAGTATGAAGACATTTAGAAATTCTTGAGCATCACAAAATCTAAAGTTTGGAAGTGAACTGTATGATAAGGAAAAATTATAACATATTCACATGACTAATAATAGCTTTTAAAAAAAACTGCCATTGCAAAAATGGGAGTATAATCTTTCAACCATTTTTCCCCCAAAATCCAGTTCCCCAGGAAGTGTTACTTTAGTACTAAACTGTATTTAGGTGGTTGCGTTCTGACATTCTTTTTATAATATATATAAACATTCAAGTAATTTTTGTTGCCCTCCTTAGAATCCTGATTTTTCAATACCTATATTTTTTAAATAGAACTCAAAATACAATTTATTTCTATATTGAACAAATTCTTTAAAATCAGTGATTTTTCAACCATTAATTCTAATGTGTACTATGTCTTAAATATTTTATTCAGAAAACTGAAAATCTCCATTCCCCCAAAGATAAAGATTAAGGCTTCACTTAAAGCATAGGTCTTCCTGATAATTTCTAAAATGTAGGTCTTATTGGGCTTTGCAGCCTTATAATTATCAGACAAACCTTGTAGTTCACTGGCTACATGGAGATATAGAAAGATAAAACTTTTTGCAATTTTAAATATAGTAAAAATCTAAATGTACCAAACATGGTTTTTATGTATGAGAAATTTGGTAAAGTATGTGTTACTAATAGATATATTTTCTACATACATGTGAGGTTAGGATCAATGTTTCATTTGAAAATCAAGTTAGTTTGATATTAGAATCCACTTCCACTATTTCTGGCAATAATATGTTAAAATGTCAACAAAATATTATAATTACATTAAAATGCAAAAGGTGGGTTCGGCTTTAGCTCAGTGGCAGAGTCTTCCCCTAGCATGAGTGGCACACTAGTTTCCATCTTTAGCACCATATGAAAGCAAACAATAAACGCAATCTGTCCATCTAAAAAGTTGGGTATGTAAGCCAGTGGTAAAGCACTCCGGGTTCAATGTCCAGTGTTACAAATTTTAAAAACCAACTTTGAATAAAAGTTAAGACCATAAGTGTACATGCAACAAATCCCACCATTATGTACAACTATAAATCACTAATAAAAAAAATACAGAGAAAAAAAAAGACCTTATCAACATACACTTATCAGAACTAAAATAAAACAGTGACAAACTCTTGACAAGGATGTGGAAGAATCTGGCTCTTTGAATACACAGCTGGTAGGAATGTGAGACAGTACATTTTGAGGTTTTTAACTAAACATAAAATGTTATCTTAAAAGATGACATGTTCTTGGAAGGGTGGGAATATAGCTCAGTGATACAGTGTTTGCATAGCATGTGTGAGACCTAGGTTTGAGCCCCAGGACGATTAAAAAAAAAAAAAAAGACATACTCCAAAATAAATAATATGATTTTACCCATACAATATTCTCAAAATGACCATTCGMAGTGGGTACAGACACTTGGGGAAAGGTGAAATGATTATAAAAGGGTACCAATAAGGGAGATCTTTGTGGTGATAGCCTAGTTCTATATCTTGATTTTGGTGGTAGTTACATGAATCTGTATATGCCATAAAATGAAACAAAAAGAAATATGGAAATAAAAATGCCATATACAGGCATTGTATCAGTGTCTCCATCCTTGTTTTAATAATATACTATAATTATGTAAGACATAAGTATTGAGAAACTTGGTGAAGTGTTCATAGGACCTGTTTATGGTATTTTTACACTTTGCTATGAATCTCTAATTGCTTAAGAATTTTAAAGTAAAATAAAAACAATAATCTAAGATAAGAGATATTTCATGTTGAGGTAGAGAACTCCTACTGGCTTGAGAGGCTTCTTAGACTAGTCATCACTAACACCTGTGCTGAACCCACCCAGGGTTCACTGTCACTGTTCATCCCCACACTATGCTTTAAAGATGAACAATATTCAAAACAGAACCACATGGATTCCTTATGGAAATCTATGTGTAAGGTTAAAAAAAAAGAAAAGAAACTATAATTATAGAAGAGAGACTACATACACCAGAAAATAATATAACTTTAAATTTGTTCATATAGTAGCCTCTCCTGAATACAAAGGGATACAATACTCAAGGGAGAGGCAAATAAGAAATTGACTAAAGGAATAAAAGTGAGATTGGTGCAAAAATAAATAAACAAATACCTCAAAAGTCAAACATTTCATGGAAAGGATTAGAAAGTAAAAAATGCAAACAATTTTCTACCATCTAAATAAATTACCTGCTGTAAGGAACCAACTCTTTCTATAATTTTCATATTAAAAAAAAAACTCAAAAAAAAAAAAAAGAAATGTTCAAGAAAGCACTTTCTTGGAATGACCTGAGATTACCTGAAAAGCTTCTAGAAAATAAATTTAGTTGTGAATACAGGTCCCAGCCATGGCTTGCCAGCTAAGAATTTTAAAAGTTCATGGCAGTCTTCATAATGCACACTTTTAATTTTTGGAGAAAAAGTGATTCATGTTTCTTCTATTTCTATCTCATTGGATAAATGGTTACCTAATTTCCTACCAAATAAATATCTAACCATTAATATGAAATTAGTTTCTGTTATTTACTGAATCAAATCTAAATATACTGTGATAGCAATTAAAAGCTCTAATCTGGATCCCCTTCTCAGCCATATAATTTTCCCAAAATACATCAGCATTTATGCTGCTTGTTTTTATTCTTGTCTTCTGCCTCAAACACTATCTCTTCACTACTGGTCACAGACAATGGTACTACATTCTTGAAAATGTTTTCATCCCAAAAGTAAAGGTTCAACTTAATTTTGTTTTCAACATGACAATGTGTATGGTTCTAGGACTTTAGTATAGTTCACATAATACACTCTTTCTGTATAAGTAATATCAGTATCGAGTTTTTTCAAATATGTGTACAAAGTTTTTTCTCAGCTACTTTGAGCTCTATTATTGCACCTTATACTAGATTATATTCCATCACAGCCTGTGGTGTCAGGTGTAAAATCTCTTGGCTATGCATTATAATCTTACGTCCAGTTTTAAAATAAATGCTCTATACCAGGTCTCACTCAGAGATTCTTTTTTTAAAAATATTTATTTTTGGTTATAGTTGGACCCAATACCTTTATTTCACTTATTTATTTTTATGTGGTGTTGAGGATCGAACCCAGTGTTTCACACATGCAAAGCAAGTGCTCTACCCTGAGCCACAACCCCAGCCCTCACTCCAGAGATTCTTAATCCATAGGTCTACAATAGAACCTAGACACCTAGACAGTTCCAAAGCTCCATAGCTGATTTTAATATGTAGCCAACTGAGAACCACCACAACAGATATGTAATGAACACAGAGCAGAACAGTAATGCAGTTAAAAATGTAGTCTTCTAGAGTAAATCAAATCTAGGTTTGAATTTAGGCTCCACAAAGTAAATTACCTTTATATTATACAAATTATTTAACCCTCTGTAAGACTCAGTTTGCTCACTTAGATGAATCATAATAATACCCACTCTGATGAGTTGCTCTGAGGATCATTATTTCTAGTATATAGGTTTCATTAAACACTGGCAATGTTTAATAATTACTTGGTCCTTTTCAAAAGCTATATATGCCAATAGTTACTTATATTCAATGCAATTAATACTGGAAAGTAATCACCTAAAAGTGAGAATTATTCTTTCAATATGGAAAACTTTCCAAAATTTCTAAAGGAAACATTCCCTTAATACATTTTTTAATTTCCTTCTCTCAGATAAATTATAAAAGACTTGATTTGATAAAATGGTCTTAGAAACTGAAAGCAGTAATTTCACATTCTATATAGCAAACTCTTAAAATGTGTATCCATTTTTAATAACTAGAGTTGATTTTTACTTTGTTTAGAATTGTATGGGAGATTAAAATCTCATTGATGATTAACCTTAACAGAATAAAAACAAAACATGTTATTTTCCTATGCATTAGGACTTCTCCAGAATACTGTGATACTTTTTTTAAGAGGGGAAATGTTCTTTTTATATGTTACCATCCTTATTTAAACCTCTATGCATACTCATCCAATTACCTCATTATCTGTAGATTTTAAATTATTTTTTTCATTTTATGATTCATTCATCTTACTACGCATTTTGTGAAATTACAATATGAATCTATGAGTGTCTCTATAACCCTTTCAACTGATAGGTTTTTCAAGTTGTTAAAGTCTTCACAATTATTTTTAAAAATTATGTCATCTATAACTATTTCCCTATTATTAACTGTGCTTCCAAATTATTGCTATAAATCATGCTGCAATAATTCTTTTAGAACAGCATTTTTCCTGTATTTTTATCTGTAGATGGGAGAAAATCTTTGCTATCTACTCTTCTGAGAGAGAATTAATATCTAGAACATGTAAAGAGCTCAAAAAACTTTACATCAAAAAAAGTCAAATAACCCAATTAATAGGCAAATGAACTAAATAGACACTTCTCAAAAGAACAAATACAAATAGCCAATAAATGCATGAAAAATGTTCGATATCATTAGCAATTACAGAAATGCAAACCAAAACTACACTGAGATTTTATCTCACATCAAAAAACRGCAGTCACCAAGAACACAAATAATAATAAATGCTGCAGAGAATGTGGAGAAAAAAGGAGCACTTTTACATTGTTGGTGGGACTATAAATTAATACTACTACTATGGAAATCAGTATGGAGGTTCCTTGAAAGATTATGCATGGAACCACGACATGACCCAGCTATGCCACTCATCAGTATTTACCCTGAATAATTACTACAGTGATACATGCATACTCATGTTTATAGCAGCACAATTCACAATTCAAACTATGGAACCAGCCTAGGTGTCTGTCAGTGGATGAATGGATAAAGAAAATGTGGAATATATACACAATGGAATTTTAATTATGCAT